CCCCACCACTGTCCCACTGTCCCACTGTCCCCACCACTGTCCCGCTGTCCCCTCACCACTGTCCCCACCAACACCGTCCCCACCACTGTCCGCACCCCCACTCGGTTTTCGAGGGGGGGGGGGTTCGAACCGGTAGTGACCCCCCCCCCTTTTCATGATGAACTGGGGGGGGGGGAGGGGTTCGAACCGGTAGTGACCCCCCCCGGTTTTCCGGAGGGGGGGGGAGGGGGGGGGAGGTGTTCGAACCGGTAGTGACCCCCCCCGGTTTTCCGCCAGCAGCGGTAGAACACGCTCTTTCATATATAGGAACCGATGTAAAACGCTGACAAGCGGATACGCATGAGAAGGGCACTTTGTAGAAACATACGTAAACACAGAGAGGATTCGCGCTCCAGGGGGGGGCCCAGTCTATAGAAACATATGTAAAACGCCGGGCATTGGAGCCACTCCTGTGGCCTTCTGAGGCCTCCTGCTCCTGGCGTTTCCTGCGGCCTCCTGCGGCCTCCTGTGGCCTCCACAGAGGATTCGCATTCCAGGGGGGGGGGGGGGGGGGCAATCTGGGCGGCGCCGGGCGGCGGGGCCCAGCGGCAGCGAGGCGGCGGCAGGGTGGGGGGGGGGAGCCAGCAAGGCGGGCTGCCGGCCACACACACACACACACACACTTCACATACACACACACACACACACACACGCACACACACACACGCATACACACACAGACACCCATACACACACACACACACACTTCACATACACACACACACACACACACACGCACACACACACACACGCAAACACACACAGACACCCATACACACACACACACACACACACACACACACACACACACACACACACACACACACGCGCATGCACTCATACACCCATACACACTTCACACATTTCACACACTTCACGCACACACGCACACACACACACACACACTTCACACAGACACATATCAGCCAGCGTTGACTCAAAATAGAAAAAAAAAAAAAAAAAAAAGACAAGAGGAAGACGAGAGAAGGATGGGAGGAGGACGAAAGGAGGACGGGAGCAGGATGGGAAGAGGACGGGAGGAAAAACATCAGGCAAGCGGACGCAAGCAAACGCAAGCGAGCAAGAACGAGCAAGCAAGAGCCAGCGACCAAGTGCAAGCAAGCAAGGGCAAGCAAGCGCAAGCAAGCGATAGCAAGCACGCAAGAGCAAGCGAGCAAGAGCACGCAAGAGAGCAAGCACGCAAGAGCAAGCAAGGGCGTAGGCATAAGAGTTAAGGGGGAGGCATAGGCATCGGCATAGGAATCGGCAGAGCCATCGGAATTAGGGGGGCATCGGAATTAGGGGGCAACGGACCAATTAGTAGGGCTTGACTTAGAATCCCCATAGGGCAAATCTAGTTGGAGAACACACAGACACACAACCACACACACACACACACTTCTGACAACGCGGCCACGCGAGCAGCGGCGCGGGTGTCGGGCGAAAAGACGCACGCGCCCGGCCCAGATCAGGCGGCGTGGAGATACTGGATCTGTCCATACGGGGTCAACAGCATCACTCGCGAGGGGGCAGTCGCGAGGGGAGCAGCGGAGGAGAGGGGGAGACGGCAGACGTACCGAAGAGTGCGCAGTCCAGGCAGCAAGGAGGGGGGGGCGCCGTGACGGCCCGCAAGGGCGGAGCGCGCAGGGGCGAGGCGACGGGCAGGACGAGGACCCCGGAAAAGCAGGACGAGGACAGGCAGGATACAGCGGCAGCGGAGGAGCACCACCGACTCGAAAGGCGCACACGGCCGCACGGAGAGCGAACGGTCGACCCGCAGGGGCCCCCCCCTGGTGAGGGAGCGGTGCCTGTGCCGGGGGCGGCCGCCCAGGGCGAGGACGACCGACAGGGGAGCGCATCAGCGCGCACCCCCCGGGGGAGAGGCTATGGGGAGGCCGCGCGGGGCCACGAGGGGGTGGCGGGTGCGGAGCGCGCCCCAAGTACGGGTGCACGGCGAGCGCCGCGAGGGATCAGCGCCCCACAAACGGGGACTCCACTAACGGGCACTTTGGCCAGTGACCCAGCGAACCCAACCCTTCCCGATGCGGGCAACGCTGCATTGCCAGAAAGAGGCCCTAAAGTGGCAACTTTCGGCAAACTTGCAAAGTACCCGTTAGTAAGTACCCGTTACGGTGCCGTTGAAGGGAGAGTGACGAGGCAGAGCCGTGGGCCGCTGGTGTAAGCTGACAGGGCGCCGCCGTGGGATGGCGAGGACTCCGGGCGGCGGCTTCGGCCGGGCGCGGGCTGGGCGCGACAGGCCCATGGGAGGATAGCCGCTCCCTGTGACGGGACTGCGGGGCGTCGCCCGAGTGGTCCCATTCGGGGATGGAGCCCAGGGATTCCCTGAGTTGAGCGGCAATGTAGAAGTCTGCGTTGGCGTGCCTGCCGCCAGCCAGGGTCGGTCGCGCGCGCTGCACAAGAGCTTGACGCTCGCGCTGGGCCTCTGGCGTGCCAGCAACGGCGGGGGCGAAATCGCAGACTAACGACTCGGAACGCGCACTGACAAGGGGCCGGGGAGCGGGAGAGGCGGGTTTGCAGCAACGCTCCCCCGCCTCGGCAGCCATTTGCCTCAGAGGCTCCACAGGGGGCCGTGCTAGCAGCACACTGCGCACTGTACATTTTTTTGTGGTCGCGGGCGGACGCGGATTCGCAGTCGCCGAGCTGAGAGGTCTGGGCCACGGGCCTGTCAAATTAGCAACGCGCAAGCCTAAAAGCACGCACTGTACATCAGCGTTGCGTTTAGGAAAAGTCGTCGCGGCGTGAGCGGGCCGCAGGCGGGGTCGAGGGTGGGCAGCAGGTGGGGCGGCAAAGGAGCCTCAGACCCGTCGCGGGCCAGGGCAGGCGGACCCGCCGCTGGAGTGGAGCCACGGCTGGTCACGGGGGGGGCGCAGCAGCAGGGCGCGGTGGCGAGCTGGCGGGAGACGCGGGTTCTCGGAGCGGCCCCGGGCTTGCGTGGGCAGGTCCTGATCAGTGGATCCGCCGAGGGTCGGACGTACCGAGCTCCCACGGCCCGCACGTGAGGGGCCAGCAGGGAGAACGCCCGCGGCCCGGTCCCGCGAGGGGCCCTCCGCCCAGGAACCGGCACTTCAGCAGGGGGGGTGCCAGCCGAGGAGGCCCGGGATGACGGCACGCGCAGAAGGGCAGAAGGAGAGAGGCGGGTGCCAGTCGGCGTCGGGAACTGCGGGCTCGCTCCGCGGCGCGGAGGCGCTGCATGAGGCTCATGCAGCGCCTCCGCGCTTATGCCGGCGCTCATGCCATGAGCGTCGGCCAGAGCGCCGACAGGGCTCCGTCTTCTCAGGAGTGCCCTGTGGACGGAGGACCTCGCCTGTCTAGCAGCGGCGGGGGTGGACTTCACTGCAGTATGGACGGCGCCCTCGGCCGGGGCGGAGCCAGGCTGGGCACTGCGGCGATCTGGTGTGTGTGTGGGGGGGGTGAGCGGCTCCCCAGTTGAAGTCGCGTGGTGGTGGCGCGGGCTGCTCGCGCAGGAGCTGGGTGGCAAGGGCACGCCGGTCGGGCTTGGACAGCGAGGCCCAGTCGCCGAGTCCAGCAGACTCCCAGCCATGGTGCAGTCCACATATCCTTGCGAGCGGCACGCATGACCCTCTGCGCGGTGCGGGCCGTCTCTGGGTTAGGTAGGCGGCGGCAGGGTCATGGCCGCGAGGGAGCCCAGAAGGGGAAACAACTTGCTGGCGCACCCTGCGGACCCTCCGGCGCGCGCGAGGAAGGACTTAAAGCACGTGGGGGGGGGGGCAGCGGGCCGTGCAGAGCGTGGGCGTCGAGAAACGGACGAGGTGCGCCCGCCAGCGGGTTGCTCGGAAGTCGCCGAGCTGGCGGCGACCTGCACCAGGTCGGCAGACGCTGGCGCGGCGGTGGCAGCGCCGTGGAGGTGCGAGGACGGCACCGCAGGCGCGGGGGCGGGGCGGGGGGCGGCGGTCGGCGGTGGCAGGCGCGGGCGCCGCGCTGGCCAGGGGCGGTGGCGGGCTTGCGCCGTGCCCGCGGCACGGCTGGCGGGGGCACGGCGCGCGGCGGGGCGGCGCCCCGGAGGGGGACAGGCGGCAGCCGGTGCGCCTCTGCCGGAAGCAGGGCCGCCCGCGGGGGCGGCAGTGCTGGCCCGTGCGCGCGAGGCGTGGCGCCCCTGCGTGCCCTCGAGGAGGAAGTCGGCCAGAGCATCATCGGTGCACCTGGACGGGTCAGCCATCGGTGGGACGCCAGTCGGGGAAGCGGAGCTGCAGGAAGCTCTGCCAACGGACGCGGTTTGGTCTGTCCCCGCGAGGGCCCCTGGCCCTGCAGGCCTCCACCACACGCTGGCATAGGACAGTGCGTCCGAGGCCTCGGATCGCTGCGATGTCGACCTCGAGGTCGGCTGGGGCGTCAGGTGCCGAGCCAGAGCAGGACGGGGCGCGAGAGGAGGAGTTGCTGCCTTTGTCGATGGTCGACGGCGGAGCGGCCTGAAGGGGGAGAAGCACGGCACGACACGCCTGGCTACACCTCGAGGAGCTGCTCCGCAACTGGGCGTCGCGGCCACGCGCGCGGCGGCGCGACGTAGAGCAGATCAAGCGAGCGCGCGCACCGGCCTGGCCCACGCGACGCAGTGACACACACACACACACACAGACACACACACACACACACACACACACACACGCGCGCACACCTTGGTCGGCGGCGCAGGCGGACGCCATCGCGGCCGGTCAGAGGGTGGGCCGCGCGCCGCCACGAACATAATCAAAAACGACTTGGGCGTGGCTTAATGGGGGGGTCACAAATGGGGGGGTCAAAAAAGGTCCCCTTTCGTGCCCCTTTCGGGCCCCTCCGGAGCCCCAGGGGGCTCGTTTAGGTACCGTTTGGGTACCTTTTCGGACCACGCTCGCCACCCCCCCATTTATGACCCCCCCATTACGCGGCGCCCAAACGACAGGTCCCCGAGGACTGCCGGCCCGTGCCCGCCCTGGCCGCGGCGCCTGCTTCCAGTTGAGGCACGCGCAGAGGTCCGCTGGCGCGGCCCCGAGCAGAGGCAGCAGGAGGTGCAGGAGCACGGCCGCGACGGCCAGGGACGGCATCGCTGGGCGGCCTGCGCGGACGTCCAACGTCTTGAAGTTCAGGGCGGAAGCTGCTCACACTTACCATGTTCTGCCTCCTCGGGCTGTTTTCGGGCTCCGGGGGCCGTCAATCGGAGCATGGTGAGTTGAGACAGCGGCAGCTCAAAGTCGGTTCCTGGACCCCTCGCGGGGTCCGAATGCAATCGTACTCCGAGCTGTGTCCAGCAGTGGCGACGAAGGGGCACCCCGAAGGCCAACTACCGCTGTCTCAAGCTGCGCTCCGCTCGGAATGAAACGCCGACCCGGGCCGACCCGGGGGGAAACGTTTCCAGGAACTCTGCGTTGACACAAATCAAAATCTCGGATGAATGTTTGCGCGGGCACAAACATCCCACCCGCCCTCCAGGCGCAGGCGGTTTGGAGCGCTTCCTCTTCCAACCACTGTCTTTTCCTCCGGTGAAGGGTAACTGCTCGCTGTCAGTGAACACCCGCTGCCCCACTCCGGCCGCCAACCAAAAAGAATGAGCCCACTCCTGCACGTCGGACAAGAATACACAAAACATGCACGTGGTCACTCTGCCTTGGTTATCCCAACAACGTGTCTGCAAAAGCCCTATACATATGGCTTCCAAGGCCAACTGGCGGCTTGCGCAATCCCGAATCCGTGGCTGGCCCGTGGTTTCGGTGGTTTGGCTGGCCCGATTCTTGAGGATATCATCGCCTTGGCCGCTGCATCCCCTGAAGAACCCGTGCAAGTTTCTGAGATCACGCGCGGATATTGATGATGGCCTTGATGGGGAATGGCGCGCGCAGAAAATATGACATACGTTGTGGGGGGCAGCAACTTTTGTTCAACGTGTTCAAAACGAACTCGACATTGTAACGAGTGGAAACAGCCGTCTTCGACTGGTTTGTTTTGTGTGCGCGAGTACGAACAGGCACATGTGGGCGCATTGAACTACTCGTACGGCTCACAATGGTTTTGTATGTAGGGTTATATATGTATGTATGCGTATATATTTGTATAACATGTCAACCGAAACATGTCCACCGCGCTCTGAATGGAACATACCCTGGCGGGATGGGGGCGGACCAACGCTGGTAGGAAGGACCATGGGCCCATCACGCACGCGGAGCACAAAGGTAACTGCGGGGGGGAAGCCGACTGGCACAGAACATCGGAGAGTAACACTCACAAGTAATACATTCAAGCGATGTTGAAGTCTGGCTTGTTTGGAAACGTGATCATACCCATCCCGTCCTACCACATCTCGTCCGAACAGTCCCCTGTTGCACAATAAAATCGTAGCATACACCTCTCGTCCGATGGGGATGAAAATATTACCATCCTGTTCGCAAGATCCCCACTCAAGGTCCTGCAAGTTGATGAACTCATGCGTGCACCCGGGTAGTGGCGTGGATGAGCACTGGCATGCGCGCAGATCATCAGTCACGGTCTTCATCACGATCAAACGATGCATGGTTTTGAAATGCTCTGCCTTGCGCGCGCAGACGCGCGGCTGTGGATGTGGCCCGCACTGCTCCCCGAACCGTGCTTTGAGCAGGGAACGACCGTCCCGGCATTCCTATAGTCCTACCACGACATTGTCGTAGAACCCAAAGATGTTCTCAGAACGAAAACAACGTTCTTCGAACATAAACCCGATGTGTTAAAACAAGACAGACTCCGCCAGAAATGTTCTAAGAGCAGTTCGTGGAAACCACAAAGGGTTCTTAGAACAGGGTTTGATAGGGCCATCGGCGCGCCAGGACGCTTCGCACTCCAGCAGCGCGAGACCTGCCGCGCGTGCCGAGGTGGCGCCCTGGTGGCCAGCGCGGGCGCCTCATGGCCGCCCCGCGTGCGCGATGGCCGGGTCTGCCAGGAAGGTCTCGCCTGGAGCTCTGCGCCCTCGCCGCAGTGGTGACCAATACAGTCGACCAGTTCGGTAAGGATGCGCAATAAGGATGCAAGGGCCTTGGCCGCCCATTTCGAAGCGTCTCGAGCGGGACGCGGCCAGCGAAAGTGGCGAAGGACGGACTGAGGAGGCAAGGAAGCAAGGGTACCCTTGGGAAGGTTGCCTATCCTTACTATGCGGGTTGACTGTACTCCGCGGGCCTCTGGGGACTCGCCGAGCGCAGCCCTACTCAGCGCCACCCTCTTGTTAGGTCGGGCATGTCCCCCTACAGGCGGAGCTTGGGCGAAACATAACAGATAGTCAAACAATGCTCCCCAAATGCTCAAAATAGTAAAAAAAATTAGCCTGGCGAAGAACCCAACCATATGCAGTTGTCAATACCGCAGCTGCGGGTTTCATCTTCAATGGAACTCCCCATAGGACTACGGAACGTGTGAGGGGTGTGCCGAGATGGGTGCCACTGGGGCATTCGGCGAAGCTCCCTATGGGGACATGAAACACGCGCGGGGCGTGCCGACATGGGTGGCGGAAACGCATGTGCGGGCCGCCACTGGGGCCTCCAGTGGAACTCCCTGTGGGTCCCCGAAACATAATGCTGCTGCGGGGGGGGGGGAGGGCGGGATGGGTGGCGGAGACGCATGTAAGCGTCGCTACTGGGGCCTTCGGTGGAGCTCCCTATGGGGCCACGAAGCGCGTGAGGGGTGTACTGGGATGTGTGGCGGGGACGCATGTGAGCGCCGCCACTGGGGCCTTCGTGGGGCCACGAAACGTGTGAGGGGTGTGCCGAATTAGGTGCGGGTGGTGACGCATGCGGGCGGTGCCACTGGGGCCTTCGGTGGAGCTCTCTATGGGGCCACGAAACCTGTTGTTGTGAGGGGCGTGCCGGGATGGGTGGCGGGGACGCATGTGAGCGCGGCCGCTGGGGCCTTCGGTGGAGCTCCCTATGGGGCCACGAAACGTGTGAGGGGTGTGCCGAATTGGGTGGGTGTGGGTGACGCATGTGAGCGCCGCCACTGGGGCCTCCGGTGGATGATGGGGCCACGAAACCTGTCAGGGATGTGCCGAAATGGGTGTGCGGGACGCATGCGCATGTGAGCGCCGCCACTGGGGCCTTCGGTGGAGCTCCCTATGGGGCCACGAAACGTGTGAGGGGTGTGCCGAATTGGGTGTGCGTGACGCATGCGGGCGCAGCACTGGGGCCTTCGGTGGAGCTCCCTATGGGGCCACGAAACGTGTGAGGGTGTGCGAATTGGGTGTGCGGCGCATGCGGGCGGCATTGGGGCCTTCTGGGGCTCCCTATGGGGCACGAAACGTGAGGGGTGTGCCGAATTGGGCGTGCGGGACGCATGCGGGCACAGCACTGGGGCCTTCGGTGGACTCGTGTGCCTTTGGGGTGTGCGGGCGACAAACGTGTGAGGGGTGTGCCGAATTGGGTGTGCGACGCATGCGGACGGGGCCTTCGGTGGAGGGGCCACTGAGGGGTGTGCCGAATTGGGTGTGCGGGACGCATGCGGGCGGCAGCACTGGGGCCTTCGGTGGGGCTCCCTATGGGGCCACGAAACGTGTGAGGGGTGTGCCGAATTGGGCGTGCGGGACGCATGCGGGCGGCAGGCAGGGCTCCCTATGGGGCCACGAAACGTGTGAGGGGTGTGCCGTTTGGTGTGCGGGACGCATGCGGGCGGCAGCACTGGGGCCTTCGGTGGGGCTCCCTATGGGGCCACGAAACGTGTGAGGGGTGTGCCGAATTGGGTGTGCGGGGCGCATGCGGGCGGCAGCACTGGGGCCTTCGGTGGGGCTCCCTATGGGGCCACGAAACGTGTGAGGGGTGTGCCGAATTGGGTGTGCGGGACGCATGCGGGCGGCAGCACTGGGGCCTTCGGTGGGGCTCCCTATGGGGCCACGAAACGTGTGAGGGGTGTGCCGAAATTGGGTGTGCGGGACGCATGCGGGCGGCAGCAGTGGGCCTCGGTGGGGCTCTATCCACGAAACGTGTGAGGGGTGAGCTCCCTGGGTGTGCGGGACGCATGCGGACGGCAGCACTGGGGCCTTCGGTGGAGCTCCCTGTGGGGCCACGAAACGTGTGAGGGGTGTGCCGAAATGGGTGTGCGGGACGCATGCGGACGGCAGCCATGGGGCCTTCGGTGGAGCTCCCTATGGGGCACGAAACGTGTGAGGGGTGTGCCGAATGGGTGTGCGGGACGCATGCGGACGGCAGCCTGGGGCCTTCGGTGGAGCTCCCTATGGGGCCACGAAACGTGTGAGGGGTGTGCCGAATTGGGTGTGCGGGACGCATGCGGGCGGCAGCACTGGGGCCTTCGGTGGGGCTCCCTATGGGGCCACGAAACGTGTGAGGGGTGTGCCGAATTGGGTGTGCGGGACGCATGCGGGCGGCAGCACTGGGGCCTTCGGTGGGGCTCCCTATGTGGCCACGAAACGTGTGAGGGGTGTGCCGAATTGGGTGTGCGGGACGCATGCGGGCGGCAGCACTGGGGCCTTCGGCGGAGCTCCCATGGGGCTACGAAGCGGTGTACTGGGCGGGTGAAACGCAGGGAAGAGGGGGAGGAGGGAGGAGGAGGCCCAGGATGAGGAAGGAAGAAGGAAGGAGACGCGGGGCGCCGAACGGCAATTCTAGCTGAGACGTCCCACCAAAATCGGCGCGAACGGGCTCGTGAGATCAGCCAGGGTGGCTCCCCCTTGGGGCTCCCAAATGATGCCCCTGGCAGCGTTTTGTGGCCATGAGGCTCTCAAGAGATACATGTTGGGGAAGCCAAACGGCAATTCTAGCTGAGACGTCCCACCAAAATCGGCGCGAACGGGCTCGTGAGATCAGCCAGGGTGGCTCCCCCTTGGGGCTCCCAAATGATGCCCCTGGCAGCGTTTTGTGACCATGAGGCTCTCAAGAGATACATGTTGGGGCGCCAAACGGCAATTCTAGCTGAGACGTCCCACCAAAATCGGCGCGAACGGGCTCGTGAGATCAGCCAGGGTGGCTCCCCCTTGGGGCTCCCAAAGGATGCCCCTGGCAGCGTTTTGTGGCCATGAGCCCCTCAAGAGGTACATGTTCGGGGCGCCAAACGGTAATTCTAGCTGAGACGGCCCACCAAAATCGGCGCGAACGGGCTCGTGAGAACAGCCAGGGTGGCTCCCCCTTGGGGCTCCCAAATGATGCCCCTGGCAGCGTTTTGTGACCATGAGGCTCTCAAGAGATACATGTTGGGGGCGCCAAACGGCAATTCTAGCTGAGACGTCCCACCAAAATCGGCGCGAACGGGCTCGTGAGATCAGCCAGGGTGGCTCCCCCTTGGGGCTCCCAAATGATGCCCCTGGCAGCGTTTTGTGACCATGAGGCTCTCAAGAGATACATGTTGGGGGCGCCAAACGGCAATTCTAGCTGAGACGTCCCACCAAAATCGGCGCGAACGGGCTCGTGAGATCAGCCAGGGTGGCTCCCCCTTGGGGCTCCCAAATGATGCCCCTGGCAGCGTTTTGTGACCATGAGGCTCTCAAGAGATACATGTTGGGGAAGCCAAACGGCAATTCTAGCTGAGACGTCCCACCAAAATCGGCGCGAACGGGCTCGTGAGATCAGCCAGGGTGGCTCCCCCTTGGGGCTCCCAAATGATGCCCCTGGCAGCGTTTTGCGACCATGAGGCTCTCAAGAGATACATGTTGGGGGCGCCAAACGGCAATTCTAGCTGAGACGTCCCACCAAAATCGGCGCGAACGGGCTCGTGAGATCAGCCAGGGTGGCTCCCCCTTGGGGCTCCCAAATGATGCCCCTGGCAGCGTTTTGTGACCATGAGGCTCTCAAGAGATACATGTTGGGGCGCCAAACGGCAATTCTAGCTGAGACGTCCCACCAAAATCGGCGCGAACGGGCTCGTGAGATCAGCCAGGGTGGCTCCCCCTTGGGGCTCCCAAATGATGCCCCTGGCAGCGTTTTGCGACCATGAGGCTCTCAAGAGATACATGTTGGGGCGCCAAACGGCAATTCTAGCTGAGACGTCCCACCAAAATCGGCGCGAACGGGCTCGTGAGATCAGCCAGGGTGGCTCCCCCTTGGGGCTCCCAAATGATGCCCCTGGCAGCGTTTTGTGACCATGAGGCTCTCAAGAGATACATGTTGGGGGCGCCAAACGGCAATTCTAGCTGAGACGTCCCACCAAAATCGGCGCGAACGGGCTCGTGAGATCAGCCAGGGTGGCTCCCCCTTGGGGCTCCCAAATGATGCCCCTGGCAGCGTTTTGTGACCATGAGGCTCTCAAGAGATACATGTTGGGGGCGCCAAACGGCAATTCTAGCTGAGACGTCCCACCAAAATCGGCGCGAACGGGCTCGTGAGATCAGCCAGGGTGGCTCCCCCTTGGGGCTCCCAAATGATGCCCCTGGCAGCGTTTTGTGATCATGAGAGAGTGCGAGTGTGAGCTTAACTTATCTTATCTTATCTTGAAATCTCTTCTTATCATATCTTGTGCTATCTTATCTTATCTTGTAGTATATTATCTTGTCTTGTCTTATCTGGTGATTATCATTGGGAGGAGGGAGGCGCGAGCGGGAGGAAGAAGGAGGAGGAGGAGTGGGAGGCGTCAGAGTAATAACAAGAACCCCAATCCTTAGGATATGGGGAAAAAAGTCCCCTGACTATGTTTTAACTGTTTTGGAAGATTGCCCCTGTAGAGGGACAGGCCCGACCTAACCCTATCGGGAACTCGGCAGGCCCACCACTCGAATCGGGGCAGGACGGGCAGCGCCTGCCTGCAACTCTCCCCCGCGACGTCCCGCCCGAGAGCGCGGCTTCCTGCCACCTGCCTGCCACCCCTCCTGCGCGATGTCGATACAGTCGGGGCCTTGACCTAAGGAACCCTAAATAAGGAACGAGGCCCCTTTTTGTCCATAAGTCAACCTTCGATTTCCGGTCGAGAACATGAGGGAAGCCTGAGGCAAGCTGTGAAACACTTAAGGAACGCGGAGCCCCTCCCCAACGAAAAGGGTTCCTTCTTCAGGGCCCCGACTGTACGTCCACCACTGGGTACACCTCGCCGGCCCTGACCTACGGTCACGAACTTTTGCTTTGGCGTGTCGCGACGTCGGCCCCGGCGACACGTCATGCCCTGCACGCGGACAGCGTGCCGCTCTCCTCCGCGGGGGCGGGAGGCTGGGAACAGCTCGAGACGCTGACGCTGGAGAATAGGGAAGCGAGTGGCGCGTCGCGCCAAAGCCTGGTGGGCGAGGACCGGTGGTGCGACACACTGAGCCAAAGTTCCCGACCGTAACTTCAGCCCTGCCACCTATCCTGCCACCTACAGTGGGAGCTGATTATAGTGGACCAGCGAGAGGACACAAGGCCCTTCCGAGGGCCACCTTGCCACAATACTGCAGAAGGCATGGGTTTGCAAACACAAGACAAAGGTACACGTCGTTCATTTCTCATCGTGCTCAGTTCAAATTGTGCTCGCTTCTAATTGTTCCCGGCCCCCTGGTGGCCAGGAACAATGAGACATGAAAGGATCTCGGCCCCCCAAAAAGTCAAAGAACTCTCGAAGCATCAGACATGACCAATACGAGCCCTTCATTGGGCAGGGTCGACTTACGAATCAACCTCGCCTGTGGGGCCCGTGCTTCCTGCCCCTGCAGGCGCGGGCTGCCCCGCCCGTGACGCTCCGGGCCCGCCCTCGGGCGCCGCATCGCGCGCGCCGCCCCGGCGAGAGGGGGGGGGGGCCCAGGCCGCCGGTCTCCCGCGGCGGGCGTTGGGAGGCAGGAGGGCGTCGAGGGTCCGAGTCGGCGGTGGACGAGCCTCCCTTTCGTAAGCCTCCCCTTAGTGAAAGCGGCCTCATAGTGAGTGGAGTGAGCCCAGGTCCCTTCGAGCTCTCTGTATTGGGCTTCGCAGATAGACCTTACAGAGCCCAGACCCCCAAAAATTCCAGGCGTCCTTGGGCGCTCTTGGCCAGTCCAAAAGAGCAATGAGAACACAGCACGTTCTTGCGTGACGCTTTTGATAATATTCGGCGGTGGACAAGCCTGCCTTTCGTAAACCTCCCCTTGCTGAACATGGCCTGGGACCGAAACCGACGGACCTGGACCCGCAAACATGACGGCCGCGACGCCCTCTCGCGAACCGAAAGCGGCCAATTCCTGGATCGACGCGTCAGGGTAGGAGGTCGATCAAGCTCCGACCGAGGAGGCCTTCGAGCGTTTTGGGGGGCTTTCTCCATGGGCCTCGGGAGGCCTCCGGGAGCAGCCGGCGGAGCTCCAGGGGCCCTCCCGGGGCGGCGCCAGGGCGCGTGCCGACGGGATGGGGCCGCAGGAGCAGGAGCGGGGGGGGGCGGGTGAGGAGGAGGAGGAGGAGGAGGAGGAGGAGGAGGGGGAGGAGGAGGAGGAGGAGGGGGAGGAGGGGGGGGAGGAGGAGGATAATCGGGAGGAGGAGGAGGAGGAGGAGGACATCGGATCGACTACATCATGGCGGCCGAGATGCTCACCCAAGCCCTGCAAGACTGCAGGGCAGTCCCCGACATCGAGATCGTGAAGAGACGCCAATAGGCCGACATGCCCCGCGAAGATTACACACCAGTACAAGCTGCATTGACCTGGAAGGCATCGACGAGATCTACAACAAAAAGGTATTCCCCTAAGATCGACAGAACGAAGCTGAACGACCAACTTTGTGGTCTGCGGGTCGGGAGCGGGCCCCTTCCTTGCAAGAGCCAAACGGGACGCGGGTGGCCCGAATTGGGGAGACAGGGCGCGGGCGGGCGGGGCCTCAGGCGGCCGGAGGGCTCAGAAAGCAGGCGGTGCCGAAACAGACGGAGCGACCAAGAGGCAGTCATAGTATTCAACGACGCCCTCAACTCCACCGCGCCTCCAGCATGGGGCTCCGACTGCGGCGAGCACGTCTGCTGCTGCACGCTGAGTGTCATGGAGAGGCCGCCGTCGCCGCGATCCCGAGGCAGCAGAAGAGAGAGTGCTGGGAGTGCATCTCTGACCAGGCACTCGACTTCATCTCAGATCGACGAACGCTTGGGAAGATCCTTCGAAAGGACGCACAACTTCGTACACGGCATCCAGCGGTACAGCGGCGTATCAAGAAGGACACAAAACGTACCCGAACATGCCCATTACGACAAACTCCGCTTCAGGCTGCCGACGCTGTGTTCGGAACTGCGCTGCAGATCAATATCGCAGCCTACGAGGCCAGCGCCAGCGGGAACACTCATTCTTCGACGCTATCATCAAGAATAGGTAGAACGACACCAGGAAAGTGGCCTCGAAGCAAGTGAACGCTGACTACGACAATTTCATCAATACCAAGGCCGAAACAAAAAGCAGCCAATGCAAGAAGCAACGACGAGCCCTACTACGAGAGCAAGTACATCAACAAGCTACTCATCTTCGGATGCCGCAAGAAAAAACAAGGACGTACCCGATGATGACCGACAGCAATGGCAACGTACGCAGCAGCAGTCAAGGCCCAAGAAGCTACACACCACTCCAGAAATATCGAAGAATCTAGATACCTAAACAAACTCCAGGCAGTAGACCGATATAACAGCACCAACGACATCACGACTGCACAAATGGAACGCAGAATCGACAACTTCGCCAGCATTTACGAGCTCGAAGACCAACTTGCACGAGCCAAGGTCGGACGAACAGCTGGACCAGACGAAATCACCAACAACTTGACGACAATCGCACCATGAGAAATGGCAAGGCACATGCACCCAATGACTAACAAGACCGCCCTTTATCGCACACAAAGGGTCACGACTTACCCATTTCTGGAAAGGAAAAGGCAACCAGGAGCAGCTACAACAGCACAGGTGCAAATCGCTAGCCAACACAATCACCAAGCACCACTACCGATATATAAGGAAGTGCATGAAAGAACGACATGGCCGCCAACAGGCGGACGACATGGCCGCCAACATCCAAGCCATCAAGCCCAAGGCCAAGCTAACACGATTTGGACTCCTACGGCTTGTCGCTGTTATTCCCCACATCCTAAATGGGCGTGCTGATTTCTCTGCACACCTCCGCGCAGGATGACACCCCACCTCTTCTGCACATTCATTATCATTAGTACCACCACCATCATCATCAGCACACACACGCCCACTCATAATATGCAGCACACTCTCGCACACACACGCGCACACACACTCACTCATCATCACCATCGCCAGCATCATCAGACTAGCACACCTCCTCATCAGCGCCACTATCACCAACTCAACATCACCATCATCACACACTCATCACTAACACCGTCCCATTGTGATCACCGGCCAAGACGGAGCCTCGTCTGTGAGTGCACTGCGTGGAAGTCTCAGGCGGGCCACCTCCCCCGATGGGATCTGCACTTCATGTTGGTAATCCGAGCGGGCCATCGAAATCCTGTAACTGCCGTCACTTTTGGGTCCCTCAGGCCTGAATCTCGAGAAAGTCTCAAGCGGGGGCCTCGTCTGTGAGTGAATTGCGAAGAAGTTTCGGGCGGGAGGCCCCTCCCTATGGGGTACGCGCTTCATGTTAATAATCCGAGCTGATCATCGGCATCCTGCAACTGTAATCACTTTTTGGCATCTCAGGGCTGAACCTTGAGGAATTTTCATGCGGGAGCCTCGTCCGTGAGTGAATTGCGAGGAAGTCTCAGGCAGGAACCTCTCCCCTATGGGGTCAGCACCTCGCAATGGCAAGCCAAGCGGGTCATCGGAATCTTGTAAGTGTCGTTATTTTTGAGTTCCGCAGCCCTGAATCTTGATGATGTCCCGGGCGGGAGCATCGTCTGTGAGTGAAGTGCGAGGAACTCTCAGGCGGAAGCCCCCTCCGGTCCGCACTGCATGTTGGTAATCCGAACGGGTCACAGGAATCCTGTAGGTGTCCTCACTTTCGGGCTCCCCCGGCCTGAATCTGGAGGGAGTCTCAGGCGGGAGCCTCGTCTGTAAGTGAATTGCGGGAAAACCCCCTCCCTGTGGGACCAGCGCTTCGCGCATTTTTATCCAAGCGGGCTGTCAGAAATTCTTAGTTGTCGTCATTCTTGGGCTCCCCAGGCCTAAATTTGAGGAGGTCTCAAGCGGGAGCCTCGTCGGTGAGTGAAATGCAAACAAAAACTTAAACGGGAACCCCTCCATATGGGTCCCGCACGCACGTTGGCAATCCGAGCGGGTCTTCGGAATCCTGTAATCGTCTCTGTCGGGTTCCTCATGCCTGAATCCTGAGGAAGTCTCAGGCGGGAGCCTCGTAGCGGGAACCCCCCCTCTCAATGGGAGTCTTATGTCAACGTTGGCGTTCGAGCGGGCCGCCAGCAAACCGGCAACGTGGAATCCGACCGGGCTCCTCTGGCATGCATATGGCGGAAACCAGGCCGGGGACTTTTCAGCCAGGGGAGCTCCTTGGGGGAGCGGAGTGGGCGGGGTCGGGGAGTGGAGGGGGAAGAAGGGGAGAGAGGAAAAGAGGAGGGGAGGGCCCAAGATGATTGGATGTCCCTGGAAAAACGCTCGCAATATCTTGGGCGACTCCAAGCCCCGACGAGGGGGATCCTCCAACGCCTCCTCCTCTTCCTCCTCCTCCCCACCTCCTCCTGTTTCTCCGCCTCCCCCTCCCCATCCTCCTTCTCTCTATATGTATCTCTCGGTTTGTTTCTCTCTTTCTCTCGTTTATTAAATATTTCTCTCTTTCTCTCTCTCTCTATCTCTTTTTTTTTTGTCTCTCTCTCTCTCTCTCTCTCTCTTTCCCCCATTTCTCTCTCTCTCTCTCTCTTTGTATGTGTTCTCACTCTCTCTCTCTCACTCTCTCTCTCTCTCTCTCTTTCTCTCCTTCATCCTCCGACTCTAAGAGTTCGTTGGAATCCGAGCGGGCCGTCAGATCCACTGGGCCCCGGAGGAATCCGAACAAAGTCTTCTGGGTTCCTGAAAAGGCCACTCGCTCGACCCATCAGAGGAGGAGGGATGCTGCATCTCTGCGTCATGCTTTCCCGCGCCACGTGCACGCGGAACGTGCGGATCCTGCGGCCGCCCCCGCCAGAGTTCCTGGAGCGCGGGCCGCCGGCGTCCCTGCGAAAGGCGCTCAAGGAGCTCGGCAAGAGACTTGCAAGCTCCAGGGCAGAGGAGGAACAGCTCGCGGCAAAGCTGGGTTTCGTGCTGCCTCCCGCCTGAACGCGGCCACGGCTAGCTCGATGCCTGCGGGATTGTCCCCACGGCTTGCTCCCGCGCCCCAGCAGCTCGCGGGGTTGTCCCAACGGTCTGGCCCGCAGGATTGCCCCAACGGCTGCGCGATGTGGCCAGTCGAGAGTGCGCCCGTGCTGGCCGAGGCGGCGACGGCGCCGAGGAAAACCGACACTGGCGCTCTTGCAATAAAAGGTGGCTGGGTTGAGAAAAACCAAGAGGGCGAGGAGGGGGCAACGAGGGAGCGGGAGGAGGGCCTGCGCGAGGGCGAGAAGGATAATGATGCAGAGGAGACAGTAAAGACGCCTCACCAATGACGAAGACGACGATGATGGGGCACTCCCAAAGTAGCCGAGAAGATTATCATGTGGGGTCCTACCGTCGGAGTAATTGTTCAAAGCAGGCACGTGGATGACAAATCAGAAGACCGACGCTGACAAACTTAATTCTGCATACAAGGCTGCAGTAAGAAAAACTCAAGGTATCAGCCATCACAAGATGAAAGACGATCGCATCACGAGCACCAAGATCATCGGCGACGCGAGACTACCACGACTACCACATCGACTACGCCGCGCACGACTCCGCGAAGTTATCCGCATACTAGTCCAAAGCCCACAAGAACTTCAAGCCATGCTGGACTACGACATCAATGCTGCGGGACAGTGGAGCACCACATTGATCAACGTCATGACCGAAATTCGCGAATACGCCGATCCAAACCGAATGCTCTCGCTACCTGGCAATACTCCGAGCTGGACCGAGATGGCCCGAAACGAACCCACGACTTTCAAGAGCATCGTAGCCCAATCGTATGGAAGATTGATCGAGGAGACAACTGAAGAAACACATCGAATCGGAAGTGAGGGGGTGAGATCGAAGTGGAACGGAGAGCCCCCCTACCGGGAAATCGGTTTCGGTTTCGTGTTCGTGCGTGCCGCGCGTGCGGGCGAGGCGAAGCTGCGTGGGCGGGCGAGAAGAAAGTCTCCTCCGGCTGAGGCGCGGCCGGACCAAATGATTCCTCTCCGGGGGCCGGTGCCGCGCGGTGTCCCGCCGGTGACCCGCCTCCGGCTGAGGCGCGGCCAGACCAAATGTTTCCTTTCCGGGTGCCAATGCCGCGCGGTGTCCGGCCGGTGTCCCGCCAGTGTCCTGTCGGTGTCCCGAAGATGATGATGATGATGATGATGATGATGATGATGATGATGATGATGATGATGTCGATGATGCTGATGATGCTGATGATGATGTCGATGATGCTGATGATGATGATGGTGATGGGGGGTGATGATGACGGTGTCCCCATGTTGAGGATAACGTTGACGATGTTGATGGTGATGACGATTATGGTGATGGTGATGATGATGGTGTCCCGATGATGATGATGTTGATGAGGATAATGGTGTTCCTGATGATGATGATGGTGCCCCGATGATGATGTTGATGATTATGATATTGTTGATGATGGTGAGATGATGATCGTATAATGGTGAATATGATGAATATGATGATGATGGTGATGATGGTGTCCCGATGATGAGGAGGTTGATGATGATGCCGTTGATGATGAAGATGATGATGATGGTGTCTCGATGATGATGATGTTGATATTGATGATGACGATGATGGTGTCCCGATGATGATGATTATGTTGAGGATGGTGGTGAAGTGATGATGATGATCTTGATGATGGTGGTCCGATGATTGTGATGCTGATGATGATGCTGATGATGATGGTGCCCCGATGATAATGATGATGGTGATGATGAGGATGGTGACGATGATGATGGTGTCCCGATGATGGTGATGTTGATGATGATGGTGACGATGATGGTGCCCCGATGATGGTGCCCCGATGATGGTGATGATGATGATGGTGATGAGGTGATGATGATGCCCCGATGGTGATGATGTTGATGACGTTGATGACGATGATGACGACGTTGATTGTGGGATCGATTGTGATATCAATAGTGAGGTCGATAGTGAGACCGAATGTGAGATCGAATGTGAGATCGATAGTGAGATCGATAGTGAGATCGATTGTGAGATCGATAGTCAGATCGATCGAATGAAATAAGTCGAGTGAGATCGATTGTGAGATCGATCGAGTGAGATCGATCGAACGAGACCGATAGTGAGATCGATAGTGAGACCGATCGAGTGAGACGTTGGTTGCCCCCCCCCCGAACCTCCTTATCACCCGAAGGGTGGTCGTATAGGGAAATGGAGACGATCGCTCGACAAGATTTGCCCGGGCACCAATCTCCATCCCTTGCACATGCAAAGGCCACATGGCATCGACGGAGAACAGCAGCACATGTGCTATCAATGCGGGGCAGTCCTCAACAGAAAAGCAGCTTACCAAAAGCAGTAAACGCAACGCACCGACCCCAGAACGACATCACCAGCAAAGAAGTTGTGACTACGTGACAGATCTGCCGAACCAAGTACTGGACCCTGAACGCCTCCTGATGCATTTGAAAGCGACCCCTAGATGCGCCATACCGCTACCCGAACTCAGTGGTGGGCCAGACGCCGAGGAGATCGAAGCGAACCTGCGAGAAATACGACGAACACGACGTACCAGCAAAGCAAAAGGACTATCCGAGGACTACGCCGAGAAGCCGCGTGCCAAGCTACAAGGCCCCCCTCGAGCTCGAGGATACCAGCCAGCAGACCTCGACAGCACAACCTCCAGGATGCCAATCGCGACACCTAACGAAAGCACGACAGGACACGAAGCGCCCAGCGAGCACGACGGAGTCGACACAAATCAAGAACGACGCCAGCAGCATAACGACACTGACACACAAGGAGACGCCACGGCTGGACACGACTCCAGAACCAAA